GGGGGGGGGGGGCGTCCGCAGTCGACGCAGCTGACAGCTGTTCCCCCCGGTGGGCCGGTCGGTAGGGAGGATTCAGCCTAGTCGCGCCCCTTCTATAATGGCTGGCTCCCTTTTCTTCCTTCCTCTATACCAGCATGGCTGGCTCTTCTAGGGTTACGTCACGACTCGGCCTGCTGTCGTACTGACGTCAGATATACCAACGCTCGTGACGTCACTGCGTAGCGGCTAGCGTTGAGAAACAGGCGGCATAGAACCTCTAGCCTCTACGTCAGGGAGTGTATAGGTTGGATGTACCCAGGGTGGCGGTGCACAGGCTGTAGGAGTAAACGGGACGTTTGGCGGGATCGTTTACCCGGGATTGGATATCGTCGGTGTATGCGTGAGTGAATGCGTACCGTGTATATGCAGGTCTCTTGAGATCGGAGAGAGAAAGAGAGAGGGTTAGCCAGCGCCAAACGGTGGCAGCACCGTCGAAGATAGGCAGTAATCGTAAAACAAGAGTTTTACGAGGTCGAGACCGTGGCGGCGAGTGGGGTTCGGTTTACGAGCGCATAACAGGCGCGTTTATGGCCATGATCACATGGCTCGGCATACCTAAGGCTATATAACCGGCCTCCATAACCCACTGCAGGGTAAACAAATCGTAAAGCTCGGTTTCGGATTTACTAACCTCGCACAATACGGAAACCTTCCCTTCCTCGTGTACCAGTCGCGCTAACTGGGTTAAGAGGGTTCATTGCTGTGAGATCGTTGCACTTGATAACTGGCTGATTAACTCGTTGGTTAATTAGGAACGAACGTTGTCACTTTGTATAAGGGCAGTTCGTTTTGAATGTAGACACGGAGTTCTTAGTTTTAATATGGTCTAACAAGTCATGAAATCTTTTTTGTTCTTAACGACTTTCGCTGGTTTGTTTCGATTTGCATTGGGTGCTACCATTTTTTTTCATGTATTCTTGTATTGACCTTGACCGAGGTTTTAGAGGCAACCTTGGCCCTTCCAGACATATTTATCCTTTGAATTATGTGCAGTATTGAGAATCTATGCTAGACCCGTGTTTTTTCATACGACAATACAACCGGCCGGTTTTATGGAGGTTTCACCTTCACCTCGGTACTACACCTCATGCATAAATCTAACGCGTCGAGAGCCCTGCAGTAAAATAGTGGCCAATGACTTCCAGTGGAGGCTCTTCCTCTTCCGGCAATTTTACAAGCTATAAGTTCTTCCGATCAATGGGTCGTGTGGCGCGCGCACACGCATCGCTCTGTCTTTTGTGTCTTGGCTCGATTGTTCCCGCGAATACCGCCAGATGCCGGCACTGCTTTATGGCTCTGGAAATGGCCAACAGTTAACCCTTCGATCGTTTTATCTTCCCCATTTGCTCGTCGACGCTGCTATTTCCACGTGTCACGTAACTTCACCATAAGCAGTTTGATAAAGAGAAATCAGCTTTGCTGTATTAAATAAATTAATGATTGCATCTAAGAAAATACGTTGAACCTGATCAGTATTATTGAAAATATTTTATAATACTTTGACTCGATTATTCCAATCATGTATGTATCGTTATCATAATCACTATGATCAATGTAATAATCCAATGGAGAGTATGTATACATAAAAAACTGTATATGTTAAAGTGCACTTAGATTGAATTTATCGTCCTCTCCATAGAACCTCTATTTTCCCAATTATGAATTTTATATATTTTATTTTTATTTCTCGTCCCCGAACTCGAGTCGCACGACAAAACAGTCTCCATGGGTGTGCGAATACACAGGATCTCCAGGAACACAAAAGTAAAGCAGAAGCTTGTCTCGTGTTTACTCCCATGGTAAAGTAGCGTTATTAGAATCGCGTCCAATTACACTTTTATCCTCAAGCTAATCTCGCGGAATACACGGGGTTATTGTAACAGAGCGAATTTTAACTCTCTCTCGGTTGGTGGGCGAGGGTGGCGCATAGCCGCGCGGAAAGAGAAAGAGAGAGAGAGAAAGAGAGAAAGAGTCCCAGGGGTGATTTATTCGAGTTAATTCCAATTCCATTGGAGCCCGCGAGGTAGCGGGAATGGACGCTCGGCGGGTGTGTGAGCCGGGGGTGGATATTCTTATGCAATTTGCCAGAAAGGTTCAAGAACCCGGGAGATCCCGCAATTTATCTTGCCTTATGTTACGCCGAGCCAAGGCAACGGAAGATAGATGGCGTCACTGCTTCCAACCCGCCTTGCGCCACCACCACCTTCGTCGGCGGCGGCAGCAGCAGCAGCAGCTCTTCTCGAACCCCCTGGAAGTCCCATACTCCTATCCACCCTGCGACCAGCCCTCCCAGAGCCAATGAGGGACGACCACGGTGGCCATCTTGGATGGAGAGTTATTGAACGAAAAAGATGAGTAAGAAACTTGTTATGGGGGTGCTTTCTCATGGCATTGTATTGGTAATACTATATATGTATACCTACCACACTATACAGCACTGCTCCTGTACTAGTATACTAGGTAGTACTGCTGCCAGTGGGTACTGCTCGTGATGGCGGTGATGGTAGAGGGGCGTTCGCGCTATATTGATCAATTGCTTTGCCGTGCTTCGCACTACTTTCCGGCCATAATGTACAATGCTGCCATACCAACGGGGGCGACTCAACGCCGAGAGTTGCCAGCTCAAGCGAGAGTAATTATAAAACAATTAGCCTCTGGTATGTCAGTTGTCTTTTTTAATGCTGCGTGTATACCACCTTAAAGGGATTTAATAACTCAACATTGTACGGACAATTTGCTTTGTACCTACACTGCGTAAATACCAGTACGAACACGTCGATTCACCTACGAATAAAGTTATTTCATTTTATTTTAGACAATACAGAAATTCTTGAAGCAGTTAGTGTTATCTTACCTTTTTTTTCAATTGTATGCCAATTATTCTTCAGAGATTTAATGTGTCGTATTTTGTATTCCCATGCGGGATTTCTTCATATGAATTTAGTGTGTTGTGTCCTTTCTATTTCCACTCGTATACTTGTGTAACATTACTTGGTGGTTCAGCTTACCTTTTGTTATGCCGCACCCCTGTTCATCGATAATAATTCATTATTATTATCATGCAAATAAATCAACTGTGTTTCTTACCATTGTCTAGCAATAAGATATGATTGATGTACCTGCACGTCAAGCGGTCACGGCCAATATTAGGCAGTAAAAAGCCTCAGGTTCTTGTAGAAATTTATGGAGAAAGATACTAATCGAGCGTAATGTTACCGCAATCCATTGTGTCCTGTCCGGATACACGTATACACGGTGGACCAAAGGACTTTCACTATTAGCCAACCACGTGCATTACCACCCTGCAGTAAATTTGCCCCTTCAAGAATTCACAGACGAGCGGCTTACGTGATGTAAGCTATATCTAGCGTAGAGTATTCGTATGTGATTCCTATATGCTGAAACTCCTGCGCAGCTCACCAATGTCCCACGAAGTTCCCGGCAGTAAATTCTGCAAGGGGAAATCGATTCTGGGAACAGCAGTCATAGTCATTATATATCGTGGAACACTTGAGAAAACACAATCAGAAGTCCGAAAGAGGTTTATCTCATGGCGTAATTGTGGAAAGCCCATAGACAATGGAATCGAGAAATTTTCTAGGAAATTGGGTATGTGGGTTAATCCCCATAGAGTCGTAACAGCGAGTAAACTAGCGTTTGGTCGTCGAGGGCGCCACTACAAGATAATGAATTTTTGTCGCGCAGAGAAGCAACGACGACTGTCCATAACTATGTGACGAAGGTGGACATGGGTGGCCCACGTTTCCGTTTCACGTATGCCCTGCGCATTCGTAATTTATGGGCGCGAGGTGCCGCCTAACTAAATTTCGCGCTGTGTTCTCTACGCGTCGCGGTACTTCGACGTTCACAGCAGTGCCGATGTACGAGGTTCGTTCGTGAACGGCCTAACAACGGGGCAATTAGCTGATGCCAAACGTGAGCGCTGCCATTCTCCAACTTGGATATAAACATTCGTCAAGGAAGTTACTAACCTGATAGGGTAGACGTTAACGATGCTCCACGCATGCCATTGTACTTATACGATCATCCGTTGAATGCTTCACCTACGTTCATCTCTTTGCAAATACTCACCCCCTACGATGCAAAGATACGTTTAACCAATTCCGTAAACCGTCCACGCGTCCTTCGTGCGTAGTTCTACCGCGCTTTTCTTCTTCGCGCTTACAAGTTTCACGATGTTTCCGATAGATGGCTACGCTTCTAGCGCCATCTGAGAGCCAACCGTAGAAACTCATAGTCACCACGTGCGCGTACCCCACCATACGATCCAAAGAGTAAAAGTGGGGATAGCACCAAGTAGGTTGCTTGCTAGTTTACTGGTAAGCGTGGCAGGGAGCGCCACGTGAGCAATGATGGAACGAGTAGGGGAAGCACCCACGCCTGCCACGGCGCAGAATCCCATCGATCATTCCAACGTTTCCCCATGTTTCACGCCGCCGTGTTGCACCGTATAGTGCCGTCGAGACGCTACCTCCTTGCTAGAACGCTCTCTTCTCAAGTCCACCCTCTCACCCACTCTGCCATTACTCCCACTCCGTCTCCCACCATTCTGACGGCATTCCCCCCTATTTCCCCCGTGACCGCCCTCTTCTTCGTCAAGTCCCCCCTCCCGCCTCACTGTTACCGCGAACACCCCCCACCCCCGTGAAATTGTGACGGTTCGGCGGGCAATGCCGACCGACCATCACGAGGCTTACCTTCCTATTATATTTATGCTGCGGCTCGCGGCCGGGACGGTTTACGGTGACTCTCTTTCCCTTTATGCACCTGTTTCTCATCTTTATTCATTCCCGTACGCTGCCGACATCCGCGTGCCACTTGGTTCTACGTGGTTTTCGCGTTCAGTGTACCTGGCCAGCGAAACGTTTAACGTGCTGTTTGCACCACGTGCCCAGGGTGCGTCCAATAAGTGCGCGAGTGTGTCGCTCTTGGCCAATAGGATTATAGGATGCTGCTGCACGGCCGAATCTACGTTACCAGGAAGAGATATCACCGACTGGAATTCAGTGTATGATCCCGATTAGGAATTTTGGATACTTGAAGATTGTAGAACAATTGGTAAATTAACTGCTATATACTACTTCCGTTAGTGTCTTGAGTTTTCAATTTTTTTATTTGACAAGAAATGATTGTCATTGTTCGATTGACATTTAGCGGTGCTGCCAATACTGGGGGGTTGGCATGGTAACTTGCTGCAGTAGGATTTCGGTACGATCTGAACGAACATTTCTGTAGATACGTGATACCTACAATTTATTTTTTTTACATTGCCCCTTCGCGAACGCACCGAGAACCGGTTCGTACACCTGAGAAAATGTCGGGATGAATATCGAGAAATATTATTCGTGAGAATTATCGCGCGGGTAATACCTTTTTCTCGAGGTTTAAGTTTTATCGCGCTTGTGTGAATCGTGACAACGATACGATCTCTATTTTATCGACCTACTAAGTGAAAGATATTCGTAGTACTTATTTTAGCGGAAAAAATATTTCTAACCTGGTAAAACAACGAGTGAAGCGATCACCACTCGGCTCTTTCTTAACACATTACGTATTTACTTGTTGGAATTACATGATACGTGCATATTCCTACATCCGCACAGAGAGACAAAGAATAATGCAATGCTGATTAAAGAATAAAATATTTTTTAACATACATATCTACATTCTTATATCGCCATGACTTTGCCGTGCAATATATTTGTTTAAACGTTCAAACACAATTTATCACACTTACAAGATAATTGTAAAAGCGATGACGCATTTACTGTCACTTTTTTTTATAGACTCCCAAAATAATAAATACCCACCACCCGTTCGTCATACCGCCATACCGACAGCGAAATCCTATAAAACACTCAACTTCATGAAGTCGTATTTTCACGAATAAGAAAAAATAATAATCCATTATTTCCACTACTCTGCTAACCAACCAATTGATTGGTACGTACCGAAGCGTCCCTGGGTACAATTTTCAATTACTCATAAAATTGACTACGTCCGTATACGCAATGACGATAAATTCTCATCGGCTCTTGAGAACCAATACGTCAATGGAGACTCGTTAAAACAGTATCAAGATTAAAATATCAGAAAAGTTTAATAAAGATTTCAAAGCCTGTTATACACAGCGTGCGGTAATAAACGATTGATGGACTATACCATTTATTTGATTATTTTTCCATTAAATAAATAATCGCCGCTTGCGATACTACCATGAGACACCAAGCATGCTTGCGTATACGGGGATCAAGAAATAGCCAATCCAAAGTATCTAACCTGCAACACCGACAGAGTCGTATGTATCACGTTTTTCAGTATATACGCGATATATTATTATACCTTGGCGTATATAAATTACGCGCGTAACACGCGTAGGGAAAGGTCGGTTATGTCGGGCCACCAGGTAAATCGAAGCACGATTAAAACGCAGTGTATTTAATCGCGTCACGATTTATCGTTTTATAAACCAGCCGCCGAGCATGAAAGGGGCGACCGAGAATTCCTGTTTAGTTACTTCGGATTCGTTTTATTCGTATTTATAACGGGTCGCTCTTTAAAATCAGCTCCGCTCTGTCTTAGGGAATTGCCCGTACTGCCTATTCAGTACGGGCATTTATCATTCGATTGGTTCTAACGGGCTTCAGGTCTATCGTGTTCGGAGATGCTGCATCAATTGACTATTCATCTCATTCGATACGTTCCTTTACGAAATACTTCACCCTTTGGACACTCGACAAACATATTCTAAGTGCAAATTTTTTTGCACGCGGTATTTTGCTATATCTCTAGCGTAAGAAATATCAGTATCGAACGATTTAATTTCGGAGCATTCATCTCGTTGCTGAGATACTTGTTGGAGGAATTGCGCGACACCGTGAAAAATTGATAAATTATATTACTGATAAGACCGCGAAAATCGCCATGTAACTGGCTCGTTAAAATGGATGGATGGGTTACTAGTTTGAAAAGAAAAAAAAATTTCGAGTCATATCAAACGAAATTTACATACGATATTACCTCACATTTTCACTGCACATTAATTATAATCACACGACCTGTATTTGATATATTTTTATGCGTCGGGTAATCCGACACGGAATGTGCCTTGTGCTTACCTACGTGTCATATACGTGACTGGAAATATTGCGAATATTTACGTTTGTATATATATATATATATATATATATTTCTAGGGGATTGTAAATCATATGTCTATCTATATATGTGCGTATAATATGTACACGACGTAACGGTTTGTAATTTATTGTTTCAGGTAAGTGACGTTGCGCCGCCCCAAGGCCCGCATCGCGCATGCGCACATCCTCCTTTCTCTACGTACTGTAAGCACCTACATCTTATTGCTGTAATGTCAAAATCTCATATGATTCCTATACCGACGTCACGGGTAACGAGAGTCACATTTGATAGTATATACGTATACGTTCGTATGTTATTTTCTCCTTTTTCGTATGCTATATATTACTTGTGTAACTACACTCAGCGAAAACAAATGTCTCTTATTCCTTTTGCATTGTATACTCGAAGGATACCGCCACCTGTACAAGGACTGCGCGGCAGGGATGGCGTCGACGTGCTTTTGCTAAATTGAATATTTTGAAATATATACCCACTCAATGAGTCACGCGCAACGTGCACGACTGCAGTTGCCTTAGGCGATCGGTACTATAAACTATCGAGACCTGCGTAATACGTACTAAGAGATATATAATTTTTTTTATTATATTCAATTCGCTGAAAATTTCAATTCGGATTGAAAATTGTGAAATTTACATAAGAACCGAGGGTGATTGATATATCCTGAGGGTGGTTTTTGGTATTTTTTTTGTTTTAAAGGTACGCTTTGGTACAGAAAGTGTATACGTAATTCGAGTATACGTATACTAAATAGAGAATCGTAATAAATAATATTATCATAGTGGAATATACAAAGTCCGACGTGCTTCAAGAGCAAGATAAACCACGGAGCGAAGGAACGGTACAGGTGTAAACGGGTTTAAACGAGGTGCGGTTATTAGCGAAGCCTGCGGGAGGGAGGTCCCTGGAAAATAAGAAAATAATAAGCTCGGTGGGTCGGCGTAGCCTATGGCTGAGCCGAGAAATCCTCGTCAACCGGCCGAACGAAGATAGGCCACACACCGGCGGCTTGTAAAACACGCGGCGAGATTAAATGCTTCATTAATGTGATTAAAGTAAAAAGCTGCTTGAGTAATGAGACACGGTTAATCATCTGCCATCCGACAGCGCTGCCAGCGAAGAAGCCCCTACCGCCATATTGTAGATTTTTTTTTTAAATTCAACCTTCTCTACGTCCATAGCTGTATTCTGGACCTAGACCTGGGTCACGTGAGTTCAGTTTCCATATCGTTTAAAAAATTGGTCAGACAGCTGGGCACCCACGCTGATCCGCCTGTCACATGGTAGTTGGCAGCTATAACGAATCTAGCCGTGAGACATAATAAAAATTGCACAGCTGCAGGATTTGGAATTACTCGATCGCGTTCCGCTATAGCTGTTCCCTCTGATCTCGCATACCGCAGAAGCTTCGCTTTGCGCAGCTCACACGACTACGTGAACACGGTACGTCCGAGGCTTCTCCTGGACGTTGCCTGAACTTTTACAATTTTTTTGAAAACCGCGCCACGGACATCTGCGTCCGCAATGAAAGCTCAGCAGCGGATGCGACTGGGTAGTGCCGATAGAGCTGCCATCGTCTTGCCATACAAACGTCCTGCCGATTACAGATGCGACTGGGCTCTTTTCTTTGGTAAACGCAGGCTTGGGAATCGGCGTCGCTGTTAACGTCACGGGTGTGCGAACAGGAGAATCTTTTTTCTCCGCCCTTTATTTAATATCAAAGAATTCACGTCGACTCTATCCCACCAGTCTCGTACGTATGGATAAATTTGTGCATTGTAAAAAAATAATTGTAATAATTATCACGTTAAGCTCACAACGCGGTACCAATAACAACCTTACGGAACAATAACACAGGCATCGCAGGACCGATGGTTCATAAGTCAGGCAGGTCCCAGGAATCGTAATGCTCGCGATGCGACGTTGGTCGTAGAAGCTGAAGGAAGAAGAGGGTGTCTCAAAGTGAAGTAGTAGTGAGGGTATCTAAGATACGCGGATCTACAACATTGCAACAACTTGCAAGGTGCGGGTCTTGACGCAAAGTGCAGGCAGATGCGATCGCCGATTATGCACTTACGGCGTTACCGTGTATATATGTATAATCGGGCCCGTATATACGTCGGCTTGTAGGTATAGGCCGGCAGGGCTACGAGAGCAATGCATCTTCCACGTGACATCAGGGCCCGCACTAATCGCGCGACAATCTTCCCTGGGTCCAGAGAGACGAGGACGACGCGAAGCAAAGGGAACGAGCGAGCTCGTAGTCGCCGTCGTCGCCAACTACGACGAGGACGTAGCGCAGGAAGCCATGTGGCCCCCTCCAAGACAAGGGACCTAGCGGAGATCCTACTGCGAGGACCTAAGGCCCAACTCACGTGTCCCTGCTCTCTGACCACCTTCGCGCCGGGATCTTCGCCTCGCGAACAAACGACAATCGTATAATTAGGTGTCCCGACGAACACTACACAATATCCGAAGGAAGACACATTGGCTCCAGGTTATACAGGCTCTTTCACCCGGTTGATATCGGAACGTATCTCGTGCCAGTCGAGGGCAATGCGCCTTGTTGTCGTCAGGCGCGTACGAACCCGGTAGTGTGTGTTGCGATAAAATGGGGTTGCGCCATCGTGGAGAGGGAGCCCCACGTAAGGACGTGGAAAGGCTAGAGGAACGTTGAGAAAGGTAGAGAGAAAGGAATGGCAGGAGAGACTCGGGCTGGCAGTACCGAAGGAAAATGCGCGTAATGACGCACGCGACCTTTTGCACAGCCAATGTTAACAATAAGAGATTTCCTTCTTTTTACATCGGGACCCGATGCCGTGTCGCGGTTGACCTTCGGGCGTTGAATTGATCTTGTAAGCAACAACGTTGTGACGCAAGCTGGCCCGGCTGGGTAGAACGAAGAAATAATAGTCTCAATAAAAGAAACTGGCTCTCGTGGAGATGGGGTTTGTTGTTTTGGTAGCGATCGACGACGGACGGCACAGTCTGGCTCGGTTGGTAATGCCAAGACGTTTCCGGCCAGGGAACATCCGCCTTGGGGCTCGCACGACTGTTTTATGAAATGTTGACAGCAGTCCGAGGGACGTGTAGGTGTATGATTTTTTTTTGTAATTTTTTTTTTTTTTTTTTTTCGAAGAGAAGAAGTGCCCCGTCGCTCACGTAAATTTATTTCTGCTCCTCGGCTCGTTCGCCTTTGTAGGCGAGTTTCGAGCGGTGACTTTTCTGACAAAAGGTTTGGCCACTCTTTTCTACCAATAGGAGAGTGCGGAAACCGGCAGCTGCGGTGGCGCCTCCTATCGTGCGGCAATCCCGATACCTATCTATCGAACGAACCTATGCTACGTCGACCGCACACAGCAAGCAAACCTGTAATTTATCCCTGGCGGCCGCCTACCTTCCCACTCCAATAATGATTATAATTATTGTCTCCCCTCTAAATGGGGGGTTTGATAATTATCTTACGTATTTGTCGGCTCCAACATTCTCCGAGCCGACTGCTCGTTCCTCGAATTCGATAACGCGATCGCGAAACGTGTACCTGGGACTATTTAAATTCACAGGAACAAGGTCGCTATGGTTATCCACCTTTATGGTGGTGTAGTTGCCTAGCATGTGGCTATAGTTACGCGTTTATTTTACGGTAAGTCATTTTTTCGACTTTGTCCTGCAGGTCTTCCTTTACGCTGAGATCCGTAAAACCGATACCCACGGGCATGCACGGAATTACTTTTTGCTGAATTCAATGAACGGGCGTCGTAAAAGACACGTGGTATAAATAAAAATTTTATGTCCCAATTACTTAAGAGTTTCGGTCGTATACACGTTCCACGTTAATTTGTCACTTTTCAATCAGCAGCGAATTAGCCTCGAGTTTCGGGGACTTTCTAGAGCCTACGTGGCTGTATCTTTCCTTTTTTTTTTCACGGCTCTCTTTGACTTACTTTATTTTTTCCCACGTCGCCCTCCTTCTCCTTCGCGCTTTCTTACTGCGCGCGACGATACCTCGAAAAGAAGCGACGACCAACGCCCAGGCCGCTTTGGCTAACGTATAATTAATGAATCCGCGTAAACGGCGCGACCTTTGGAACTGAATAATATTTAAATTATAATAAACATAACATGCATGTCGTCAGTGGCCTATACGCAGGTTACGACGTATACCGAACCGGATGGGCTAATGCGTGCGCGACACGACACCTTTTCGAAGCCGAATCCGACAACAGTGCTTACCAACACGCTACATCATTCCAGGAGTGTCGAAAGCTCATTTGAATAAACAAGGGAACCGAGTAGTAAGGCGAGATATGTAAGGGAGCTGGGACCACCCTTACGGCCACCGTGCTGCGAGCCTTAGCCACCGAATCCCAATTACCTGCGAAAGGGCACTCCATTTTGAATCCCATTTCAGGATTTTTCGTAGCTGCATCGACTATTGTCTCCACGGTGCCTGGAGAAATTCAATCAAGTAATTGTATTGGTTAATTTTAGAACATACGAGGCCGTCGAATGACACTGCACGGTCTGAAGGTAGCGCCGGACTTGATTCTTTTGAATTTCTCTAATGGAGCTACCTTCGGACGGTGCGATAACCGTTTTAGGGTTACAGTGGATCCTTGCATAAGTAGACCTTTTTTTCTGGGTCTTACAGGATGTGCCGAAGAGTCAATTACGAGTGGTCATTATTAATTTCACCGCATTTAACTCGAAGATGTAAATTGCGAAGGAACTTGTGTTCGGACACGGACTGTGAAGACGATTAGATACGTTATGAAAGTGACCATTAAAATATCTCTTGGATTAGGTATGAGGAAAGACGTTCTTTTTTATGGCACCCTTGAGTTTCCATCGGGTGACTTTGTGGGGCAGAGTAAAGTTGGGTGTAAGATAGATAATTGTGTGTTTAATGGGCACGTGTAATTGAGCATGAGTGTTTGCGGCCCTGGTGGGAATAGCGTGTCGATGATGTTGATGGCTCTTCTTTTTTTTTTAATTTTTCATTAAAAAGAAAAAGAACATACGTTGTAGGTAGGGACGACGTAGAAAGAAAATAAACGAAAGAGGATTTAAGATATTTTTGGATAGATCGAAATAATGATATCGCATTTTTATAGTTGGTCTGGCCGTGCGAGTAAAATTAACGTGCGAGATAGTTTGTGCTACTCGGGTCTGCATATTTTTTCTTGTGCCACATTTTTGTTTTTGGATATTCTTTGCTTTTCGCCGATTTTCTTCCTATGCAAATTTTTGCTGCTCCGTCATACGATCGCGTCGCAATAACCCAAAATAATATTTCGTTATCCAAAATACAGGCACTATGGCGGAGTGGTAGCTTCGTGCCCGGCCACCTGCGAGTAAGCTGGGAGCGTCACGACGCCGCCGTCGCGGCGAGTTACGACTACAAATCACGCGATTCGTAATTGCTACTAGCAACTACGCGATTTCGCATGGGTCCTCTTTCTCTCTTCCTCTCCTCTCACTCCTCCTTCAGTCATTCTCCGACTTCTCCCTCTCTCTCTTTTGCATGTGTGCATGGAAATCCATAAACATTGATTGCTTCGGCTTCCACTTCGCTACCGAAACACGGCATGTATATACAGTCAATCGATCCGCGACAAGTATTTATGAAACGAAATAAAATCCAGTAGCAAAAGAACAAGGAAGTATACGTAACGATAAAAAAGATGCCCAACGCAGAAACCCCAGGAACGGCAGTATAAGGAAGACCGAAAAACAAGTGGGAGACTCGTGCGAAGTGAAAGAAAAGTACAAGAGGCGGTAAGCGTAGTTAACCTTTAACTGAGCGTCGTGGAGTCCCGGCGAAGGGCGTCCCGGTCGTGGCCCACTCCCGGCCCCGTGAGTCAGTCCTGCATAGCTGTAAATGGCCGCGCGGAACCGTCGTAGCGGCCGAACTACTGAGCATTGCAGTTTCTGCGGCTATATATTACGCCACGTCCGCGTACTAGGTATTACTTTACTTCCCCTTGCATATATATATATATACGTGTGTAGCCAACCCCAGGACAGGCATGCACGCGCGTTGGCCCTTCTCGTTCCGTACGACTGTCTCCACCGCGAGAGGCGGTACGCTAAAAGCATTCCCCGCTCTGGTCGTAATTACGGATATATAGCCAGGGTAGTTCCGAATCGAAGAACACTCGCCGAAATGAGCTGGAATTGACCAACAAACAATAATAGCCAGGATCGCTCGAGGAGGAGGTGTAGCAGTAGGTTCCCTTCCAGGATACCCTGGCGCAGGTTGCAGTGCCTGAACAAGGGAGCGGCGGAACAGGGCCCATCCAACTCGTGCAACTTCCCTCTTCGCTCCCCGCCCTTTCCCTGCCCACCAACTTCCTCCATGGTTCCTCACTCTTGTCCTGGTGTTCGTCTGTCGGGAGGGACACGAGCTACCTCGTGTGTATAGACGCACACGACTGGAACTTGAACCCCACTGAGAGAACGTGTGGGTGCCTTCTGACTTGGTGTGCTTCACGTTTCCCTCGCCTTCCTTCCTTCCTTCACTTCACTATGCTATCGCATCAACATCGCACTTCATAACCCTGCAGTGTTTCCGCGCGTCTCGATCCGCCGCTACCTTCCGCCCTTAAGATCGGTATAACTTTTCGTTTTCTACTTTTCTTTTTTCGTACACTTGTGCTGCGTGGATCGACATCTTGTGGGGGGTCGTTCTTTTGGTTTTTGTTATATATATGTATATATAGAATGGAATGCGAAAGCGCTGTCTTTCCTTAGTTTCGGATTCTTCGGGGGGTCGCTGTGCTGGTTTGCGAAACGCGGCTCCTTCGAGTGGTATTTGACTTTCGAGGATCTGAAAAAATATATATTAGTTCAGTTGTTTGTTGCTAGGGTGGCGTCTTTTTGGTTTGGATCGTAAGGGGGAATTTTTGACTGCTGTGGCTGCGAATGGATTTCAAGTTTGTGTGGACAGTGCGACGGATTCTTTTTCATAGTGTCACTTTTGAGTAGGTGATTATAGACTTTACATTTTTTTTTTCATTGGATTATTTTAGGTTTTTATGCTTTTGGAGTATCAGTGAATTTTTTAAATTATCTTCAAATAACGTTTATATACTCAACGATGTCGCAGCTGTGTTGATCTCAGAAGTGCTCGGTAAGTTTTTCACAAAATATACTATTTTGTATTGCTCTTATGTAGCCTCGTTTTTTCATTTCCAGTACTATTTTAAGGTGCTGTCTAAAAATTTAGTCCGGAATCTTATCTGTACACGCGAACATTTCAGTTTACCTTTGCGTGAATTTCTGCTGTTCAATATTTCTTGGTAGAAGTAAAGTTCCTAATATTTCCACGAACATTCCATTGAATTCACTGGGAACACAGGAACCCAAACGACAGACTTTATTCAATGGTCATTCGTAACCCCACAAGCCCCAGTACTACGTGATCATTAAAACCCACAATAGACCATAATCGTTATGCGTCTGGCGTAACAGAAAGACTTTCGTTTAACGGGAAACAACGACACTCCCAAAGCTGCCTTAGTCCGATCACCACGTGTTACGAAGAGCTTCTAAAAAAAAATAACCCATACGACGGCAGGTAGTCAAGATCGGTATGCCGGATCGGATGATAATACCCCAAACCTTTTAACGACCGAAATTTCCGGTAAGGCGCGAGCCGCAACATGAACGGCAAGAGGATCAACTACCCCAAGAAAGTCAGAAGCTGTTCCTTCAGCCGTAATACCTCGGATCAAAACGTAATTGCAACGAACCCGGAGGGTTCTCAAGGAATATCCAGAAATCCCACAAGAAATTCCAGACCACGAGATTCATGGCGCAGACGGTGCTGGCTACACGCGTAGTACAGCATAGTCAATCGAAAATAGAGCGCGCGAATAATCGAAGAACACGTATGTACAAGACTACCGAAGTCAAGATTCTTTTCTGGTGCTTGATTTTTTTTTGTCTCTTTATCTCGGTCTTTACACGAATTTTTTTCTTTTTCACGTCCTTTTATACCCTGCCACAACCCCGCGTTTCTTTGAACGTCGTTAAATTCATTCCAGCCTCGAAGCGTCGTGTCGGTAAATCAAGTAACACGCATTCTCGTCGTTCCCGAGTGAAGTTCCATTTTTACCCTGTAGGTGAATTCCCTTTGAAACATGGACGAATCAAGGTGAGGCCCCTTTGGGTAATTTGCCCTTAGGTCCGTGGGCGGTGGTTACCCGGGTTCTCATGCCGGACTGCAGGATTGGGCGGATGTCTGACAGTTGACGGATGACGAGGCGGCCTTTAGGATCCCTTCTTTTCTACGCCCCTGGACTACGGGGCGCGCTCCTGGATATCCCTTTGGTTCGTCCTGGCATCGCCATTATATCCTCGGTAGGTTCACGTGCACAAGGAGGCATAACGGGATCATTATCTGAAATAGGTGCATACGTTAGGGTCATCCTCTTTGTTTTTTTTTCTCTTTACTTCTACAACTCGGCCGAAACAAATCACCGGATCGGAGGTGTTCCCGACCGAGAATCGAGGTCGTTGATGCTTCAACGAGATAAACGCTCTCATCCTCTCCCCTTCGGTGCATCGCCAAGATGCGAATCTTCAAGTCCGTGGTACCGGCCGCGCGCCGCTGTACCAGACGCAGGACCCGCTTCGCAACGCCTCGCGCAATTTATGGGAAATCTTCGTGGCCTAGCGCCGGCTTTGAGTATCGCGCAAACCTCGTGTCTCTCGCACCTTACGCCATTATCGTCGCGTTTATCTTACCGTGCGTTGACGTCTGCGCGATTCCTTTTACGAGAGATCTTGTGCGAATAATTGCGAAATTTGACGTCGGCATACATATACGCGAGACTACTAAGAATGCGCAAATACACTTGGTGTCATCTTAATATAGGATTTTTGGTAAATAATTAAAAACTTTTTTTTTTGAAGATGGTGGGTATTGTAGACTATTCTAGAGATGGAGTTTCAGGTTTCTTGACACGTGAGGGAAGACTTTTTTTTTAAACTTTCAATACAAGGAGCGGCTTTTTATTTAATCGATTATGCCGTGTCTCTAGCGTTTCCGCGAAATCGGGATACACGAGGCACTTTTTGGTGGGGTTTTTACACGATTCCGAGACACGTGAGAAAACAGGCCCGACTAAACAGCCTTGTCCACTGATGCGATAAAATCTGCCGTCGAATCCGGTATGAAGGAACGACCGACGCGGACTCAACGTCGACCATAAAACAGTTATGTGGGCTAATTGGCCTCCGCCGATCTCTCCCATAGCCGTGATCTCCGTGTTTCTTTTTTACTTTTTTTTTCCTTTCATATCATTTTTTTTTTTTTTTTTTTTTTTTTTTTTTAAAAAATTTTT